CTTATTACGCTCTGATTTCCTGGCATCTTAGTAAGGTACTGCCAAGTAAGTTATAATCCTCCTTCTTGGCCCTATTACTGGCCTGGTACACTTATATTTCAGCCCCTGAAGACGATGTGTCCTTCCTTGCTATTGAATGTTGCACCTCACTGCGAAACCTCTGCCATGCTGCTACCCTGACACGCGACGACCTAAGGGACCATGAACCACCAGCAACCATCTGTAGAAACCTATTGGGAGCTTGCCACCAGACGCACCATCAGTGCATAAGATGTTGCAGACAGCTCGAGGACAATCCGTTCGCGTGGCCGAACGGTATGTAAAAAATATGGCTCAACCGGATGACTTGGCCTTCGCACCTATAGGCCCCAGCAGCTGCTTTCCTTCCTGGCATCGCACCTTGTTGCCCAAGTACTTTCTCCCCCTCGAGCAATTCCGGTCACGGCCGGAAGTACTGACTCCCCAAAATCTAGAAGCAGGCACCTACCCAGGACTGGAGTCGCAGGATAAAAGAATGTCTCGTCAGGCAGACAGGAGAGACCGAGCAAACAGAAGAACAGGAGCAGTCACAGAACAGAGGTCAGCCTCTGCCCTCAGCACCTGGGGGGCCATATATATATATATATATATATATATATATATATATATATATATATATATATATATATATATATATATATATATATATATATATATATATATATATATATATATATATATATATATATATATATATATATATATATATATGTATATTGTATATATGTACCTATATATACATATATTTCTTTCTGTTTTTTTATAATTTCGATCACTACACATTTCTATTATACGGTTGTATATATCATTCTATATCATCTACTAACATTCTGATTGATTCATGCTAACATCTACATTCGCACTTAAGCACAATGCAGAAACATGGTGTCTAAGGGAGCGGGAGGCAGGCTTCTTTAGGTATAGTGCGCATCTGGTGGCAGTGGTATTAGCAGGTTTACGATAATTTTAATGATAAACAGCCATAAACCGATTTTTTTAAAAAGTGACGTTTCTTCCCTGGGAGTGTTGAATTCTATTGTAAAAGGAAATTTCACTTAATTTTCTTTTGTGTACATATTTCACTTACGTGAGAACCGTGATGTTAGATGTTTGGCATTTATAGCCTTGTCGGTATCGACATTTTTAGTAATATTGGGTCATGAATCTATCCTATTAATTCATTTCCTTTACTTTTTGTAATTTAAAGCACTCCCAGCCTAACGAGATGACGTCTGTCAGTAGACAGTGTAACGGCAGGCGGATGTTTCAAAAGCCCTATGAAAGGCCGTGCAATATGTTATAGAAATGGTAAATGGCACAACTATTACACTTTACTGAAGAGACACAGTGTAGTCGTATGCATTTACATCTTTTTACTTGTTTTTGTTACATAATATATATCTATACACAACCTCAACACTGCATAATACTAAAAATCAAGAATAATAATGCTTGCCTGCTTTCAGCGAGGATGAGTAGAGCTCAATCAAAACAGCGTCTGCTACGCCCACGAAAGGCGAAATGTGTGTAAATGTAAGATAATCTCCCAGAATATTACAAGTGCAGCAGTTTACCGAGAAATCTCTGATAACATCCGTTTTATCAGGGCCCGCCAAAAAGTAGTCCCTCCAGTCAGTGAAAATAGAATTGTAACCATAGGTGCATTTTGAATTGTATATTATATATTGCCAAAGATGTGACCGTTTATATTCCTGCCTTCTATATCATTTATCCTCTCCTTACTTGAAATCAGATTGACAGGTCATTTCTTTGCGAGATATAGATCAACCGAAACCCGTTCAGGACGGGGCAGGCGAGTTTCTCGGTAATCAGATATGATTCTCTGTTATCAATTCCTGAATGATGACAGGTTAACCAGTACGTAAATATACCAAAAAAAAAAAAAAATGTCGGAAAAGAAAGAAGACGACCGGCGCCTTTCGGGAGTTTATGAAATACTGTTCAGGAAATGGTAAAAGAGGGTTGACTGGCCCCTCACATGCAGTTTGTGGGAAGCTGACAGATCGCACCATTTCGCGCACTGCTTTGCTAACTATGTTGATTAAATTTTGAAATTCTACTATTTCGTAGACCAATATATTCAGGTAATGAGTATTTATAAGTAAACGTAATTGATAATTAAAAGGAAAATGTTCAGTTAACATTGACCGTTATTAGTCTTCGTTTGTCCAGCGTGTGTGCGTGTGTGCGTGCGCGCGCGCGTGTGCATGTGTGCGTGTGTTTTTTGTTGCAACATTTATTCATGGCTGCTGATCCATAAAAAGTAATTTGGCTTATGGAATATATATAGCAGTAAGCTGTAGCATATAGCATGCAGCATAGAAGTAGAATTATACTTCAGTAATTACTAGCAATGATAACACCGAAAGTTTTCCTTTCATGTTCATTTCTTTATGCTACTTTATTTGATTTCTCTATCTATAGTTTATTTATTCTTATT